AAAGACCAGGGAAGTAATATTTTTGTCAGTTAGAGCAAGACCAAACAGGCAAAGAGAAGTTTTTTCTTTCACGTTTTTATATCGCCTGCCATCAGAAGGTGTGGCCAGAGTTAAGGTGGATCTTCCCACCTCAGAAGATTTGGATTTAGCATGGGTCTTTCCATCTCAAATGATTCAATCAAGAAAGATCCCTCGAAGATATACGAACTGCTTGGGTTTTAGTTAACTCCAACTTTAGTCAGGTTAACAACCAAGAATAGCTATCACATCACGTATGATATTGAAAACTAAGTGTTCCACTCGTTTTTCTTTTTATTCTGAAAAAGAATTCTATTTATTTATTTATTAAAGATTTCTGCCTCCTCCCATATTAGAGTACTACTCAGCAGTAAAAAACAAGGTCAGATGGAAAAAGAATTCTGAAGTGTTTGATTTTCCTTGTCTTTCCTGCATTCTCCTCCTTCTTGGGATTTCTTGTTGATTAGGCGTTAAATTTTTGTCAAATTTTTTCACGTTTAAATTTTTTTTCTTTTTTTTTTAATTTTTCGAGACAGGGTTTCTCCGTATCTTTTTGGTTCTTGTCCTGGTACTAGCTCTTGTAGACCAGGCTGGCCTCTAACTCACAGAGATCCGCCTGCCTCTGCCTCCCGAGTGCTGGGATTACCGCCCGGCTCACAGTTTAAATTTTTATTTCAAGTTTTCAAAAATATTTTTCAGCAGCATAAACTACTGACTTGCTGTATTAAAGAATATTTCTCATTTTTTCTTCTAACATTTTGTTGCTATGAACAAGGTATTGCAGCTACTAATGTTTTTCTTTTTTCTTTTAGCTTTTTAAAATAAGATTTTTTTCTGTTTTGAGAATTTCATATAATAGAACCTGAGCATACTCTTTCCCCTCTTCCAGCTCTTCGGCGTCTCTCCAACCCCCCTGTTTACCTAACTTCGTGTTAGTTCTTTCTCTTAAAAAATAACAAAACAATAAAACAATGGAGTCAAGTTTGTGTTTGTTGACTACTCCTGAACATAAAACCTGTCATAGAGTCTGATTAATATACCCATTGATTGGAGAAAACTGATTTTTCTTTCCCAGCAGCTATTAATTGCAAGTAGGTTTTTTTTTTTTTTTTTTTTTTTTTTAGAACA